TTTAAGACTTGTGGACTTCAACTCCCAGAATTCCCCAGCCAGCCGGCTGGCTGGGGAATTCTGGGAGTTGAAGTCCACAAGTCTTAAAGTTCCCAGGTTTGCAGACCCTTGGTTTAGAGACGTTCAAAGTTTCTGAAAAAAACAGGTTGCACCTTCACACATTTTCTCATGCTGGAAACAGCATGCTGGATTTAATCTGGCAGAGCAAACTAACAACTCACTACTATACCCTGTCTGAGAGCATCAGAAATGGTCTCATGCTGGTCAAATCCCATGCAACATTGACAGAGTATTGACAGATTGGGAGTTTGGGTTGGATGTTGTATGGAGCCAACCCTTGTGGCTTCTGATTGATGTCTGGTTTAGCCCAGGGTTTCTCAACCTTGACCATTTTAAAATGGGTGGACCTCCTCTCCTCTTGACACCAGAGTCATGGATGTCCTACAAAACCCAAGTCTTTTGCAAGTCCTCCAGAGTGGACTATCTGATGCCGAGTCCATGGTGTTTCTTCATAGGTGTCAAGAGGAGTGTCCAGTGGGGACATTTGGCTTCCAGTGCATGGAGAAGTGTAACTGCGAGAACAGAGCCAAGTGCTACCACGTCAACGGAGCGTGCCTGTGTGATCCGGGCTTTAAGGGCATCCATTGTCAGGAGCGGATCTGTCCCGAAGGATACTACGGGCTGAAATGCAACAAACGGTGTCCGTGTCATCCTCCTAACACAGACAGGTATGTGGGCGGTACTTCTGCAAAAGGTGTAGAGTGAGGCGATTTCCAGCAGCCAGGAGGAAAACGTCACCGGGCCCTCTCTCTGCATAAGGAAAGGGATTCATCTCCTGCTCTTGGGCCCACTGCAAATAATGGGGAGGGGGGATTGCCAGTTGGGAATGGGAAGAACAGCATCTTGCTGGGCTAAGATGGAAAAGGGAGAAATTGAACTGGGGAGAAGAACAACTTTAAAATATGATTGATGGGATCTTTCACCCTTTTCAAGAGTCAAGGTGGAGAGAAGTCTCTACAGGACCTTGTGCCAGCAGTGAGCAAGGCAGCAGAAGGCAGTGAGTGGGCTCCTGGCCCGCCTTCACTCCCTCCCTCCCTTCCTCCTAACCTCCCTCTTTCCTTCCTTCCTTCCTTCCTTCCTTCCTTCCTTCCTTCCTTCCATCCATCCATCCATCCATCCATCCATCCTTCCATCTCTCCATCTTTCTTTCTTCCTTCCCTCTCTCCCTCCCTCTTTCCTTCCTTCACTCCCTCCTTTCTTTCTTTTTTCTTTCACTCCTCTTTTTCCTTCCTTTCTCCCTCCCTTCCTTTCTCTTCCTTCCTTCCCTGCCTCTCTCATTCCTTCCCTATCTCCCTTTCTTTCTTTTTTCCTTCCTTCCTTCATCTGTTTTCCTTCCTTCCTCCCTCTCTCCCTCCCTCTTTCCTTCCTTCCTCTTTTTCCTACCTTTCTCCCTGACTGAGAAAACTCACAGTAAATGCAACTCAGTCCATGATGTGGTTGTTGACTTTGACCTTGGCTTCATCTCATTTCTTGTCCATATCAGATGATCTACAATGAATGGATGCACCACCTGGTCAGCAGGTAGACGGGGGGGGGGGGGGGTCAACAGACTGGCATTCTTGAGCTGATGGAAGTCTCATCACATTGGAGCTTTCTTGTTGTTGTTTTACTTTGCACTCAGCAGTTTTGTACACTCATAAAAGTTGGTGGACTCTTTCCGATCTTCTGCAAGTGATCATACTGCGTTGAGCCTCTTTTCCATTTCTGCCATATTTGATTATTTCAGAACAGCTCGACTCTCTCAAACCCCAATTTAACTGACCTTTTCTGTCCTTCCAGAGTTACAGTCCAAAGTGACCCCTTTCAACCTGGAGACAAACAGCAAGGTAGAAGTTTTAACGGAGATCACTCAAACTCTGCCTGGAGTTAAGCTCCTGTCTCAAAGATTACAGAGTTGAAATTCTCTGTAAGATAGTGGTATGATTGGTGCCTTAGTTATATGCCTTTGGCTCCACAAATCAAATAAAATCTAGCCTTTTGCTAAAGCCAGATCATCTGACACAGGCAATAAGCTTTCTCCATCAGAGAGAAGAAGGCAAGCTAGGAAAGAAAAGGGAAGTGGAAGGAAGGAAGAAGGGGAAGGAAAAGAGAAGAAGGAAAGGAAAAGAAAAATAGGAAGAAGGGGAAGGGAAGGGAAGGAAAGGGCAAGAAGGAAGAATGGGAAGGAAAAGAAGGGAAAAAGGAAGAAGGGGAAGGAAAGGGAAAGAAAAAGGGGAGAAGGGGAAGAAGGAAGAAGGGGAAGGAAAGGAAAGGGGAAAAGGAAGAAGAGAAAGGAAAGAAAGGGACGGGAAGGGAAGGAAAGGAAAAAAGGAAGAAGGGGAAGGAAAGGAAAGGGGAAAAGGGAAATGAAAGAAAGGGAAGGAAAAAAGGAAGAAGGAAAGGGGAAAGGGAAGAAGGGAAAGGAAAGAAAGGGATGGGATGGGACGGGAAGGGAAGATGGGACAGGAATCTATCCGGGTAGAATGTATTCATGAAGGGACTTACAGAATGTGCCTTGTTGAAGTTCTAAGTAAGTAAGAGTCTCTATTGGAATAGCAGCTCAAAAGATAATTGCTTCAGATGTGGAAGGCTTTATATATTAACCAGCATCTTAAATGGGGCAAAGAAAGCAGAATATAATTTTTTCTGCATTAAGAATAGAATGTCAGGGTTCCAAATGGCATCCAAAAGTAAATCAGAGTCCAAGGCAAAAGATTCCTCAAAGTTCCAATTTATTAAGAGAGCCTTGTTGGCACATCTGGGAAAACCCGAATCTAAAAGCTTCCCGGTTTTCCCCACCCAAGATCTTTCCCCCACACCCACAAGTCCATCACATGGCCCAATCTTCCACTGCCATACTGGCAGCTTCCACCCATCCAATTCCAGTCAGGTCCAGAGATGCAGAGACAAAGGATGACCTTGGCTTTCTAGAAAGGAATTTTGTTTTGGCTACATAGCTTCTAATTCCGTACAATCCCCCTTTCCATTTTCCCACCATAGAAAAGGCATAGTAGAATAATAGAAAGTGTAGCAGGCCAGAATAAGAGAGTTGGAAAGGACCAGGGAGGTCTTCTAGTTCAACCCCTGCTCAAGTTGGAGACTCTACACCCGTGATGGCGAACCTATGCGTGCCACAGGTGGCATGCAGAGTCTTCTCTGCGGGCACACCAGCTGTCACCCCAGCCCAGCTCCACTGCGCATGTGCGCACACCTCCTGCTGGCCAGCTGGTCTTCAGGTCTCTGCTGCATGGGGATGGGGCCTTCCCCGATGTCCACAGTTTCCCCCCAGCGCACCCTACCTTCTACCACTTGAGCCTTCCCCGATACCTGCAGGTTCCACCCTCCGCAGGTGCCTCTCCATGGCAGGAATGGAGAAGAAAGCCTGGGCACTCTGGAGAGAAACTGCAGAGATTGGGGAAGGCATGGGAGGCAGGAATAGAGGAACATGACATTTAATGATCTAGGACCGGGATGGCGAACCTATGGCACGCATGCCAGAGGTGGCACGCAGACCTCTCTCTGTGGGCACACGTGCCATTGCCAGTTGTTCTTCTGGTTTCCAATGTGCCAGCCAGCTGGTCTTTGCGGGTCCTGGAGCACCAGAAAATGGCCAAAAAAATGGCCCAAAACAGCCTGAAAAACAGCCTGAAAATGGCCCCAAAATGCCCCAAAACAAGCCATTTTGCCATGCACATACATTCTGGTTTGGCCATTTGGTGCCGAAAAGGTTCGCCATCATTGATGTAGGACATCTGGCATCCTTCTCATGGAAGTTTTGGCTGGAGCCCCCTGTGCTGTCAGGGATGGATGGTGTCTGTTTCTGGGCTTCTGCATGCATCCCTCAGTCCTTCTGCTACAGGAACCTACGGGTGATTTAAAAAACTGCAGTGTCCGAGAGACAGAGGTTTTCCTGGTCTTCCTCTGGTCTTCTGGATGAGGTTCCTGTCAATGTTCCAAGTCATGCACCCATTGAAAGCAGAACTCCGAGGCAGGTATATTCTTCAAGGAATAATTTATTGGATGCTTCATATTGGCACAACTGGTGAAAGCCGACTCTGAAGTTTCCCGCAGCTTTCACCTAATTCAAAAATGAAAGTTTCCCCTTTACCCCAAGTCACTGGTCACGCTGTCCAATCCAGGTGCTGGCCAGTTGCTTGGTTACTTCGCTCCTCCTCTGGCCAGCCCCTGTGAGAATGTCCTTGGTTCCCACTGGAAAACTTTGTTTTGACTATTCCGCCCTCGCCCCATCTCTTCTTCTGCCTTGTGGCAATCCTGAAGCCTGAAAGATGGCCTCAACCAGGTTTGCTTTCAGGTTGACAGTTCTTTTCCAGAGTTTTTAGCCAGCCATGCCTTTTTTGACAGTTTGCCTTCTGTATTTAGGGATAAAGAGTTTTCCTACCCTCATTTTAGGGACACGGTGGCTCAGTGGCTAAGACAATGAGCTTGTCGATCAGAAAGGTCAGCAGTTCAGCAGTTCGAATCCCTAGCACCGCGTAACGGAGTGAGCTCCCGTTACTTGTCCCAGCTTCTGCCAACCTAGCAGTTCGAAAGCACGTAAAAAATGCAAGTAGAAAAATAGGAATCATCTTTGGTGGGAAGGGAACAGCGTTCCGTGTGCTTTCGGTGTTGAGTCATGCCGGCCACATGACCATGGAGACGTCTTTGGACAGTGCTGGCTCTTCAGCTTTGAAATGGAGATGAGCACCGCCCTCTAGAGTCGGAAACGACTAGCACATATGTATGAGGGGAACCTTTACCTTTAACCATTACCTTAACTTTGAACAGTAACTTAACAACCTGTTGTAAGTCAAGGACGGGTAATCCTCGACTTATGACCATAATGGAGCCCAAAATTTCCATTGCTAATCAACGAGAGTTGTTAAGTGAGCTTTATTCCATTTGATGACCTTTCCTGCCACAGTTGTTAAGTGAATCCCTGCAGTTAAGTTAGTAAGACAGTTGTTAAGTGAATCTGGCTTCCCCATTTGACTCTGCTTGTCAGAAGGTTGCAAAAGGGGATCACCCAACCCGGTGACAATGCAACCGTCATAAATATGAATCAGTTGCGAAATGTCTGAATTTTGAATATGTGGCCATGGAGATAGTGCAGTGGTTATAAGTTTGAAAAATTGTCATGTCACTTTAGTGCCATTGTAACTTTGAAATAAAGGGACGCAGTGGCTCAGTGGCTAAGATGCTGAGTTTGTCGATCAGAGGGCAGGACAAGAAACAATGAGCACCGCCCCCTAAAGTCGGGAACGACTAGCACATATGTGCGAAGGGAACCTTTACCTTTTACCCTCATTTCACGAATTGTTGCATTCGTTAAGGAAATCTGGGTGGATTCTTAATGAAGGCTAGGTAGGACTTTCAAATTTGATATAGGACTAAATGACCTTCTTAGCATTTATTCCCACTGTATAATATTTTGCATTGTATGCTTCAGATCCAGCCTGATCTCTCTTCATGGCTGGCTTCTTTTTAACTTCCTATTTGTTTTGTACCTGCTTTCTTGCCTTGAAACAGTCTTGTCTCCAGATGGTATCTGCAGCTCTTAATAAATGAGTCTAGTCACTCAACTGATAAAATCTGTCATTCCGCTCAGCCTTATCTTGGTCCTCGGGGGACAGGAGAGACAGTGGCAAGCACGGATCCATAGATGTATTTTTCATGCATTGTGTTGGCATTT